TCCGGGTCTTTCAAATCTAATCATGTGACCCCAACCTATCTTTTATCTTCTTGTCTGAAATGTTTATTTATCCAGCAAACTGGATTATGTGTTACTCGCAAACGTGCCTCTCTGTATACTTTTCCCTTATTTTGTGAATATCTTTCCTCTTTCTTTGTTGACCTTTCCCAATCATCAGCAATGCTTCCCATGCTCATGTTCCTATACCTTTTCACGTGCTCATCATGGCCCATATTTCAGGGTGCTTGTCAAGACTTGTGACTGGCAACATAAATTAGAGAGTTTTATTTTATGATCATCCCTTTGGGTTGACAACAGGCCTCTTTTACCAGTAATCTTGTGCCAGGAGGTGTGAAGGAGTCAGTCATATTCCCATATCATTATGTGATGGAAGGAGGGACACATTGTCATTTTTAGAACTAAAGTCAATATTTTCTCATAACAGACAGGAAACTGGGAGAGAGAAGTTACTAGAACAGCCTGGCTACTAGAGAGAGCAGAAATGGACCTGGGAAGTTCTCCCTGGAGATATGAAGAATTCTCTGGTGAAACCAGTCTAAATGTGAGCAGATATTAGCTGGATACATCTCAGAGAAGACCTGAGCAGAACATCAAAGAGAATACACACACTTATTTGAGCCCAATAATAATGACCAGTTCGTTCCTGAAGGGAGATTTGTGATCAGTTCTGTCCAGCAATGCAAGTATGCCCATGATGACATGGGAGCTGCATGTGCCCACAGGGAGAGAAATGCTGTGGAGAGGTCTCATTTTCAGAACTTGTAAGTTACATTGGGTGCTACTCACTGGGAACTTGGAAGAACGGGGCATGTGCACATAATTTTGAGAGACCAAAGAGCATCGGAGGGGCTTTGACAGACTGGGGGAAATTTAGTCTTTATTCTGTTGGTGTTACTTTCTTTTAAATCAGATCTCTTCCTACTCTGCCTGGCTATCCAGGGATGAATTTTTAGAATTCTAGGCAGAGGTTCAGCCAAAGGGTGGTCCGTCTCCGAGTATGTACGTCATGCCTTTCATCCTCAATGAGTTGTTCTTATTGTATAATTTTCCCTTCTAGGATACAAGCACACAGGGACCCACACAGATGCATCCATCAGGGAGCATGTTGCATTGGTCTCAGTGTTCCTATCCTGGCCTCTCTTTTCTAGTTTTAAATCCCCGGCTTGGCACACAACTTGGTTCAGGGAGGTCTTATTGACTGAGTGCATGTCGAAGGTTTACTTTTGTGAGTCATAGTGCTGGGGATATGGTTGCACTGGGGCAAGGTGCTTTCTAAACATTTTCTAAAAGCTTTTAATTGTAAGTAAAATAGTAGATATTGTAAGAATCTTATGCAAGTAAATGAAATTTCCAATGGCTGACAGGCAGGGGCGGCTCGTCTGGGGCCCCTTCCCCTCCTCCCTCAGGGTCCTCACCCCCAACGTGGGCACGGCCTGGGATCCTGTGAATGTTGATGGGGGCCTGTCCCCTCAGACCAAGGCCCTCCCTGCCCTGAGACACTCCTGGGTGACGTCTGCGGCCGTCTCAACAGGTCACTAGGCCCAGGAGTACCCAGGGCGGTGGAAGGCAGGGCCTGAGGTGGGCTCCGGGGATGCCCGCGGCCCTTCCTCCTGGCCTCCCGTTGACCCCCGGCGGGTCTGTGCCCCCGCCCCCAGCCCACCTGGGTTCCCTCCTCAGACCAAGACCCCCCCCTGCCCTGACACAGCCCTGCGGGACGTCTGCGGCCGTCTCAACAGGTCACCAAACCAGACGTGCACTGAGCAGACGGCTGCACCCGCGGTGGGTTCCCAGGACACCCTCAGCCCTCCCTCCTGGTCTCCCGTTGACCCCTGGTGGGTCTGTGCCCCCACCCTTGGCCCACCTGGGTTCCCTCCTCAGACCAATGCCCTCCCTGCCTTGACACACCCCCGGGTGACGTCTGCGGCTGTCTCAACGGGCCACCAACCCGGGGGTTCCCTGGGCAGACGACTGCGCCCATGGTGGCTTCTGGGGGTGCCCTCGGCCCTCCCTCCTGGCCTCCCGTTGACCCCCGGTGGGTCTATGCCCCCATCCTCGGCCCACCTGGGTTCCCTCCTCAGACCAAGGCCTTCACGCTCACGATTCAAAATGGCGGGCGGAGACATGGGCATGGCATGTGGGTGGCAGTGCCCAGCCTGAGGACCCTCCCAGGGCCTCTCTGAGCGATGACATGGGCCCCCTGAATTCTTGGGCGGGGGCCCTCAGGCCTCCCCCGCGGTTCTACCTGGAGTACTTGCGGGTGACCTGAATCCGGCGTCCAACACCGAGGCCGTCCTGTCCCTCAGGCCTCCCGGGCGGAAGACTAATGACGTCACATCCGGATGCTGGGTCAGACCGCCCCCTGGAGGCTGCCAGGAGGAGCGCACAAGGATTCCGGGCGTTCCTCGCTCCTCCCCCTGGGCCTCCCTTAAACCCCGCCTTCTCCCACCTGCTGCGGCTCACGAGGCCCAGGGCTCTGCCTCCCCAGGTCCCTAGTGGACGTGGTGTGGTGCTGGGGTGTGGAGAGGTGGGGCAGTGGGGGGAAGAAAGGGAGATGTGGGGGATTGAATGTTGGGTGCATGGCGGGAGGTGGCACAGGGTCCAGAACATACACACTGGTGCTGAGTCCTCACCATACCCAGGAAGTGCCTGAGGCACACAGGATCAGTAGCTGTGTCTACAGACCAGTGGGTGTGGGCCAGGCGTTAGGCATGGGGCACACCCCGTGTAACATCGCACCAGCACTACAACCTGTCCCTGTGCCCAGTTGACAGATCAGCAAAGGGAGGCATAGAAAGTTCACGGGAAGGCTGGGCTGCAGAGCAGCAGGACTCTGATTCCAGCCAGCTGCCTCCCGGTAACTCAGGAGCTGAAGGGGGCAGGACACTGAAGGAGTCCTTGCAGCCAGCTTCCTGTGCAGGGGCTCCTGTGTTGAAGGCGCCTACCCCTGCAGAGCATGTCTCGTCTAAGGGTCCAATGGCCACGACTGCAGCCCCAGGCGTGCGGGAACCAGTGGGCCCTGTGTTCCATGGCCTCATGGCCCGAGAATTAATGCATGGCCCCTGGGGTGCCTCTTGTAGTGAGGGCTGTGACAACACTTCTGCTCAAACTGGAGAGGCAAGGAGTCGTCACCTGGCTCCCACTAAGTACAAGCGGACTGCCAGTGCAGTGTCCCTGCGAGGCCAGGCGAGAGTCTATACGGATGTGCACGAGCACGTGATGTCCATGCTATTCACCATTGCAGAGTAGATGCCCTGCACACGCAGCTGGGCCCGTTTGTTAGGACACACACACGAACCTTCTGTGGCAGTCCTTGAAGTCCAGGCTCACAACTAAGATTCAAATCATTGTCTGCATCTCAGCAGGGGGGACACTCCCTTCCCTCCATGGCCCCTATTGCACTTCCCAGGGCAGTAACCTCCAATAGCTCAGCAGGCCCTGCTTTCCACGCAAGGTCACACTCTTAACCTGACAGTCACTGCTGTGGGCCCACACACTTGTGCCCGAGCTGAACACATGGACCCCAGCACAGATGGGCTCTTTACCTAGGGGTGGTGCTTTCTCATCTTCTTGGGACCCCAGCCTCTAACACCTGCTCCTTGGGAAAGGATTTCTTCCCATGACACCTTGGGGTAGCTGCCGCTCAACTGGCCACTGAACATGCACTCACCCCAAATTGCAGCTCTGCCCACCTTCCTCCCGGAGGATATTTCACTCACTTTGCGGGGCCGGGTCGCTTCCCCAGCTGGAGCAACATCCTACAGGCTCCCAGAACGGAAGTCAGACTCCCACTTCTTCCCTCTTGGGCAGCTTCTCTTCCTTCAAATCACCGATTTTGATTCATCTCATCCCCATGGACCTCTACCCTTGCTTACCATGGGTCAAAGGGAACTCAGGGCCACCGATAACAGTGTCGTTTCCAGGGACTCAGTACTCGCCCTCCAAGGCCAGGGAGAAGACGGCGCAGCACTGACTTCTGGGCATCACTTCAAGGGGCGGGACCCTTATGCCTCTGCAAATGCTTGCAGATGATGGCTATGCGACACCTAGGGTGGCGGGCGCTGTCTTCAATGGCACTGGGGCGAGAGCCCAGGGCAACCCCCTTGCTGCCCCCGAGGAGACCTCACCAGCTTTGCCCTAGACCTGAAAGGGACTAATAGCAACGTTGCATTTCAGCCTTGCCTCTCACCGCTAAGCTATCCATCTGCCGGTCTGGCTCTGCCCCCACCCAGCCTTACTGCACTGGATCCCACAGGAGGAATGGCAGCACCCGAAGCTGCAGAAGGCCCAGCTCAGGGCATGGGGGCTGCACGCCCTCCCCTGTAGCCGTGCCTGCTCACCCCTTCCTTTACTAAAGGTTCCTCCCACCTTCCTCACAGGACACCAGCTCTTAAGACTATCACTCTTAGGTGGGTGCGTGGAGGGGGGTGGGTGTCCTGCTTACCCAGTGACCCACCGCTGACACAGGTCCTTCCAGTGAGCAGAGGCTCGGGGACTTTGGGAGAGTAAATGAGCCAGGGAGCAGGAATGTCATTTATTACTATTTAATTTCTTCTACATATTTGAACAAGCTAAGAAAATCTAGATACATATCTTTTCTCATACAACTATTAACTAATAATTATGAGAGAATACAAAAATTAACCATTTAAATTAATTTCTCTATTTCATTGCTAAATTTGTTCCCATTCCCAAGGAAATTCTTATTCTAATGTCATGGGAAGTTACAAGCTACAAAGAGTATGATAGGTTTTCCATCTTGTTTCACAAAATAGCAAAGCTATTTCTAATCAACCAGATAAACAGCAATAAATATGTGAGCAATGTCAATCTACAATTCAATTCTGATGGTAAGAAATGTTCTAAAACAAGTAACATCTGAAAATGCCAAAAACAAAAGATAAGTTGCCCTGGCCTGGCCCTCCACCGCTTCGTTCACTGACTGGCCTTTGACAACACAGAGGGGACAGGGTGCGTTGACGTCACTCAGAGCAGAAGCCAGGGGACGTTCCACTAGAACTTGCACTGGCCATGGCGGCAGAATCGTCTGTGGCGGCAATGCTACCCTGGCCTGGCCCTTCCTGATTTCCCACATCCTCCTTATACCAGGTAAGACAGGCATTAGCGGTGCTATCTTTGACCTTGGCCCAAAAGTCCAGGACTTCCACCGCTTTGGTCTCCACGTGTGCCCTGGGGCCCCAGAGCAGGTGGAAGCAAGCGGGATCGCTGTCGGGCACCTGCTGGTACTCCAGGTACTGCTCCTGTACCCAGACCTGGGCGATGAGCTCCCTGGGGTCCCCGAAGATGACGTGCTCCCTCCCGGGAAATATCCCTAAGACACCCAGCGTTTCCCACAACTTTTTCTCAGGGACTGAGCCACCCTCCAGGAAGATAATGCTCAGGAGCAACAGCAGGAGGCTGCTCATGGGCAGGGTTTCGTCATTGCGCAGCTTCCCGCTGTAGGTAATGTCCAGGGCTATGACCAGGATGTAGGAGTGGTCGCTGGGATCCATTTCCTCCATGTTAATGCCAAAGGCCAGCTGCAAGCAGTCGGAGACGCAGCTGAAGAACAGAGAGAAGTAGTCCTCGTGATCCTGGCCCAGCACCTCCAGCATCTCCGCCCTCGTGGTGGCCGGCTCCACGGCAAGGTACTTGAGGAGCAGGAAGGCCACCAGGTGAGCTACCTTGTCGATAATCACGATTCTGGGAAAGGATCTGCCTTCTGGAGGGAACTGTGAAGTGCCCAGACCCGCCTCCACTGCTCTGCGGGAGCCACCATCGGATTGTGTGGGTGGCACGGAGGCAGAGGCAGTGGGGGAGGGGCAGGCACGCTCAGGGCCCTGGAGCGGACCTGGGCTTGGTGAGACCATAGAAACCTTTTCCTCGCCGCCTGAGATATGAGCAAAGCAAGAGGCAGAGGAGAGGAAGGAGGAGGACGCGGCGGAGGCGGAGGACCTGGAGGAGGAGGAGGAAGCAACCTCCTCTGTCGCCCCAGGGTCCTGTGCACCCACGAGGCCCTGGGTCTCCGTGAGGGTCGGAAGGCCTTCCTCGGGCAGGTAGCGCCGTCGCTTCGGGGGAGGACCAGCCATGACTTGTTGAGCAGCTGGAGGGAAGGAGAAACAGCAGGAGGTGGGAGCTGCGGGCCCTGGCGCCCGGGGGGACAGGGGGCGTCAGAGGCCTGGGCGACGGGGACCCGCTGTGTGGGGTAGCAGAGCCCTGGGAACACGGCGAGGTCGGGAGCCCCACCTTGACTCCTGGCTTGGCCTGGGCCTCTGCGGGTCTGCGACCTCAGGACACGTGCCTCACACCGAGGCCTTCCTCACCGGCCGCTTCCTGGATTCCCTGAAAGAGGGCCTGAGGGGCACCTCGCTGCCAGGACTGCCATCCCAGCTCGGGGCTCCCAGTGCCGACGGGAGGGGCGGTCCCTTGCCCAAGGGCGGCCCTGCTCCTTAAGCCGGTCCCAGTCCCCAGTCCCTCTGAGGCCCGGAGGAGGAAGTCAGGGGTGACAGGCAGGGGCGGCTCGTCTGGGGCCCCTTCCCCTCCTCCCTCAGGGTCCTCACCCCCAAGGCGGACAGGGCCTGGGATCCTGTGAATGTTGACCGGGGCCGTCCCCTCAGACCAGGGCCCTCCCTGCCCTGACACACCCCCAGGGGTCGTCTGCGGCCGTCTCAACGGGTCACCAACCCGGGGGTTCCCTGGGCAGACGACTGCGCCTGAGGTGGGTTCTGGGGGCGCCCTCGGCCCTCCCTCCTGGCCTCCTGTTGACTCCCGGTGTGTCTGGCCCCCGCCCCAGCCCACCTGGGTTCCCTCCTCAGACCAAGGCCTTCACGCTCATAATTCAAAATGGTGGGTGGGGACATGGGTGTGGCATGTGGGAGGCGTTGCCCAGCCTGAGGACCCTCCCAGGGCCTCTTTGAGTGAAGGCATGGCACCCCAGGATTCTTGGGCGGGGGCCCTCAGGCCTCCCCCCGGTTCTACCTGGGGCCCTTGCGGGTGACCTGAATCCGGCGTCTGACACCGAGGCCGTCCCGTCCCTCAGGCCTCCCGGGCGGAAGGCTAATGACGTCACATCCGGATGCGGGGTCAGACCGCCCCCTGGAGGCTGCCAGGAGGAGCGCACAAGGATTCCGGGCGTTCCTCGCTCCGCCCCCTGGGCCTCCCTTAAACCCCGCCTTCTCCCACCTGCCGCGGCTCACGAGGCCCAGGGCTCTGCCTCCCCAGGTCCTTAGTGGACGTGGTGTGGTGGTGGGATGGGGGATGAGAGAATACAAAAATTAACCATTTAAATTAATTTCTCTATTTCATTGCTAAATTTGTTGCCATTCCCAAGGAAATTCTTGTTCTAATGTCATGGGAAGTTACAAGCTACAAAGAGTATGATAGGTTTTCCATCTTGTTTCACAAAATAGCAAAGCTATTTCTAATCAACCAGATAAACAGCAATAAATATGTGAGCAATGTCAATCTACAATTCAATTCTGATGGTAAGAAACGTTCTAAAACAAGTAACATCTGAAAATGCCAAAAATAAAAGATAAATTGCCCTGGCCTGGCCCTCCACCGCTTCATTCACTGACTGGCCTTTGACAACACAGAGGGGACAGGGTGCGTTGACGTCACTCAGAGCAGAAGCCAGGGGACATTCCACTAGAACTTGCACTGGCCATGGCGGCAGAATCGTCTGTGGTGGCAATGCTAGCCTGGCCTGGCCCTTCCTGATTTCCCACATCCTCCTCATACCAGGTAAGACAGGCATTTGCGGTGCTATCTTTGACCTTGGCCCAAAACTGCAGGACTTCCAGTGCGTTGGTCTCCATGTGGGCCCTGGGGCCCCAGAGCAGGTGGAAGCGAGCGGGATCCCTGTCGGGCACCTGCCGGTACTCCAGGTACTGCTCCTGCACCCAGACCTGGGCGATGAGCTCCCTGGGGTCCCCGAAGATGACATGCGCCCTCCCGGGAAATATCCCCATGACACCCAGCATTTCCCACACCTTTCCCTCAGGGACTGAGCCACCCTCCATGAAGATTATGGTCAGGAGAAACAGCAGGAGGCTGCTCATGGGCAGGCTCTGCTCCTGGCTCATCTGCCAGCTGTAGGTGAGGCCCCGGGATGTGACCAGCATGTAGGAGTGGTCGCTGGGATCCCCTTCCTCCACGTCGATGCGAAAGGCCAGCTGCAAGCACTTGGAGACCCGGCTGAAGATCACAGGGAACTGGTCCTGGTGATCCAGGACCAGCACCTCCAGCAGCTCCGCCTTCGTGGTCGACTCCATGGCAACATACTTGAGGAGCAGGAAGGCCACCAGCTGAGCTGCCCTGTCGTGAATCATGATACTGGGAAAAGAGCTGCCTTCTGGAGGGACCTGTGAAGTGCCCAGACCCACCTCCATTGCGCTGCCGGAGCCACCATCGGATTGTGTGGATGGCACGGAGGCAGAGGCAGTGGGGGAGGGGCAGGCACGCTCAGGGCCCTGAACGGGACTAGGGGTTGGTGAGACCATAGAAACCTCTTCCTCGCCGCTTGAGATAACAGGACAGCAAGAGGGGGAGGAGGGGGAGGAGGCGGAGCACATGGAGGAGGAGGAGGAAGCAACCTCCTCTGTCGCCCCAGGGTCCTGTGCACCCACGAGGCCCTGGGTCTCCGTGAGGGTCGGAAGGCCTTCCTCGGGCAGGTAGCGAAACTTGATTTCTATGGGCCATTCAGGGGGCATGAAAGTTTACTTTATGTGAGTTAATCGTAACAGTCAATATATAGAATTTGAGAACTCTGTTGTGGTCATTTTTTTTATAACAAAGTGTGGTGTATGTATAACTAGTCCTTTCAAGTTAACTCTACTCTACTTTTCTCCTGTAGCATTATTTTCTTACTGAGAAGAATGCAAATCCTTCAGAGCAGAGGACACTGTCCCAGTCATCTAAACATGATGGAGTGTCTTAGAAGGAAAAAAGTTAGTTCTTATTGCTGTTGTGTTTAATTCCAAATATAAAATAAAGTTGATAGTTCTGTTTTTCTGCATCAAAGCAGATTGTGAATTCTTATTATTAAAAATATTTCCTACAGAATTTAAAAATCCACATGAAAAGCACTGGTGGCCTTTCAGGTCCCAGGCAGTTGTGCGATTTTATACAACTTGGGTTATGTCATCAACATACACTTCTGTTCATGTTAAATAAGGCACAAGTTTCATGTTATGCACCTTTTGGCAAAGCGGGAGAACGTATTTCACCACACACTGCTTATTTTGAAGAAAAGATGTGAAAATATTTTGTAGTACAGTTCTTTTATTTTATACTTTATAACATTTTTTCCACCGTAAAATGAGACACTCATAATGGAAAATTTGGTAAATAAGATTATGTAGGAGAAGAAAAAAAGTGAACTATTATTCCACCAGCCAGAGCTGAACACTATTGTTATCTTTTGTTTCCTTTACTTTTTAAAGAAAACAATTGTATTCTGTGACACACATACATTGGTTTTTTTTAAAGAAGTTATATCTTTTTTTGTGAATTGCTTTCCTTTTTGAAATGTGTAGGGCTCAAGTTTAGCTTGTTGTTCATTCTTTCAACACACACTGATTGAACACCTGCTATGGGCTATGTGCTTTCTATGTGCTGGGGACACAGTCATGAGCAAGGTAGACTTGGCCTTTCCTTCATGGAACTCCCAGTACAGCTGAAGAGAAGCCAGATAAAGAAGTAACGATGCGGCTATGATAGGAGGAGTGCCCAGTTCTGTGGGAGCACATAGCAGGAGCCCTGGCCCGGACTTCAGGAAAAGACAGGAAAGAAAAGGTAAGAAGGGTCAGCAGGCTTCTGTTATGTAATCACCGCATGGTGGGAGGAATGTTTCGGGCATGAAGGCCCAAGCACATGTGGTAGCAGGCCCGGTTATATACTGTCTGGGGCCTATTGCAAAATGAAAATGCAAAGCTCCATCTTCCAAAATTATTAAGAATTTCAAGAAAACTAATCAGCAGAACATTAAACCAAGTAGAGAACCCTTCTAAGAGCTGGGCCCTGTGTGACTGCATTGGTTGTACACATGAAACCACCCTACAGATGATAGTTATATATGGCAAACCAAGTAATCATACATGGATCCCGCTGACCTTCACCCATGACAGTGCCAAAAAAGTGATAGGCAAGTTAATGGAATTCAGTGTCAAACGTGACAACTAAAAATCTATCAAAGGCCTTTGCAAATAGGCAGTATATGAAGGGAAATGTAGATGGCCAGGGCCTACAAGATGGCAGAGTGGTTAGGGTAAGGGCTTCTAGTTGCACTATTTGCTTTCCCCTTCATTGTCCTCAGGGTCAGACCCCAATTTTTAAGGTGAATATTTCTGAAATTTCAAAAATGGACACCCCCAATGTTACACAAACTGTTCCAGAAAGTAGGGTAGAAAAACCTGCCCATCACTTTTATGAAGCTGGTATGCTGTAGGTACCACAACCAGAAGACAGTGCAAGAAAAGAATATTAGCGCTTAATTTAACTTAAGGAAATAAATATAAAACCTTACGTGTGTGTGTGTGTGTACTGAATCCAAGAATGTATTAAGTAGGCTTTGTTTCAGGAGTGCAAGGATGTTTATTTCATTTATTTATTTATTTATTTATTTAATGTTGGAATGCATACAAATATAATTCCATTAATGGGCTGAAGGAGAAAAACTACATGATTTTCTGAAAAGGTGTAGAAGAAAACAGTTGATAAGTATCAACAACCATTTACGATTTAAAGAAATCTTAGCAAACTAGGAGTAGAAGGGAACTCCCCCCAACCTTACAAAAGGAAACAAAAATGAACATATTTATTGGAGAAAATTTAGAAGGTAAAAAAAAAAGCACTGATGTCACTATTTAACACAATACTAGAGGATCTACCCAAAGACATCATTTAAGAGAAATTAATTACTTGCAAAGATTGAAAGAGGCAACTTCTGTCATTTGCATATAATATTAACATTTACATAGAAAATTCAATAAAATTAACAAATAATTGGGACCAATAATAGAGTTAAGAGTGCTAGGTTCAGGCCCTAGAGTCCGTATCTGACCTGAAATGCCCCCAAGCCCATTGTATGTCAGCCTGGGTAAGGATGGCCACTCTCCTGGTTGCCTAGAAGTGAGGGGTTTCCCTGGATGCAGGACTTGCCATGCTAAACCTGAGACAGTGACCCCGGCTCTGGCTCTGATTTCTTTTTTCCTTATGGCCCCTGGAAATTTACTTTCAAACTAGGCTTGTTTGTTTGGGTATTATAAATTTTTTTACATTTTTTCTTAAGGTATTATTGATATACACTCTTACGAAGGTTTCACATGAAAAAACGATGTGGTTACTACATTCACCCATATTCACCCGTCCCGCCCTGGGGGAAGGCTCCCCGCCCCGCCGCCCCAGCCCTCACCAGCTGTCCTTTCCCGGCCGCCAGGAGAGGAAGGACCACCGCGCCGGAGCCGCCTCCGCGAGTCCGGACGCAGGCGGAAGCCGCTCCCCAGCACCCGCAGCTTCGCTGGGGCCCCAGCCGCGCGCAGCTGCCTGTCTGCCGAGGCGCGGTTGTCTCCCAGCAGATCAAAAGGGAGAGACGCCCTTCCGCGCCGCCAGCGCCTCGGGGCGAAATGGGAGTCCATCGTGGACCACCTCTCACAAATGGGTACTAGGTACGCAGCTGGGCGTGGGGCGTGATGGGGGCATCTAAAGCCAACAGAGGGCATAAGCAGCTTCTGCCCGCCACAGCGTCCTGCACGCTGGCAAGAGGCTGAGGTTTTAATGGGGCAATTAAATCAACAAACTCATGACTACTCTACTCTAACCAAGACTGTAGGGACACATGGAGTAGGCGGGTCATCTACCCTGTGTGAAATGAGGACCACTTCTCACCTCCATTCGCTTCTACGTCACTAGACCCAAACCCTCACATGTCTAGCTGATGCTTGACAGTCCACATTTTGACCTTCATGCGTTGGCTTAGGCCAGACCCATTAAAATGCCAGCCAAGGATCCAAGGGAAGAAAAGCTAAGCTTTATTATATACTGAATCTCAACCTATACATGCCTTCTCCTGACAACAGTTCTTGATGAACACCTGAGAGAGGAAAAGGCACCAGACAGGGGCTGTGGGGAGGGTACAGAAATGGGACAGATGGCTGAATTTTACTAAAGCGAGCATTCAATATACAAACAGCCTGAAAGCAGACTCTTGAAGGCTTAAGATTTCTAATGCTAAGCAGCAGGAAAACAAATGCTTAATGTAAAAAATGATTAAAAAGCAGAAATTTCACTATTTAGCAACATTGGGAAAAAAAAGAAAGTAAGATAGCTCTCACAAGTAAAGAATTGCTGGGAAAAAAAATCAAACAACGAAAGACAGTAAAAATCCCTCCAGAACATAACAAGCAAAAAGATGAAAAACATGAGACATGATATATGGAATTCTGCAGTTCTAGCATCGATTAGAAGTTCCATAAAGAACAGAGAAAACTTGGAAAAAATTATCAAAGAAATAATATATAACACCTCCAGGACCAGAAAAGGATGATGTGCAAAACACACCAAGTACTAGCCTGAACTAAAAGGCCCACTCAGTCGTTCAGAACACCAATATCTTTTGAATTGTCTGTCTGGTCTTTAAGCATTCACCTATTGCTCTCCTACAAACACACATATAAAGAACTACACATTGATAATCCATGGCAGTGACAGTAGTAGTATTCCTCATCTGCTATTCACTTTTCATATGAGCAACTAAATTCTTTTGTGATCAAATCTGCTCATCTCCTTCATGATTTATGATCTTTGAGTTTAAAGTCAGCTTAACATCAGACTTTAAAGGCTTAATATTTAATTGTTTTATAGTTTTAATTTTTATAATTCACACAGAATTTTGAATATAGCATGGGGTAGGTTATCTAACTAATCCCAACAACATCTTTTCATATGTGATGTTTCATTTACGAAGCAAATTCCTATAACAAGATACATGTTGGGGACAAGATGCTTTGGATTTTTTTTAAGTGAACACTGACATATATATAACACTGATCATTTTGTCTCCCCAATATTTACACCTCACTTGTTTTATGTCTTAGTGTTTTGGTTCATTCATTTAATGACTTAAGAACTTCTTAGATTCTAGTAGATATGTTGTTGAAGATATGTAATGGTAAATGAAAAAAAGATTCTCCATTAATCTTAAAATATGAAATAATGATTGCAAGAGTGAGCAGCATTGTTTCTTATTGATGAGTCTGAGTTTAAAGAATGGTTTTCATTATTTAATATATGTATTAATGTACATTATACCATAATATTTATGTTTAGACATTTTTGCTCACTTCATCGGTTTCCCAATGCAACAAAATTTAAAATATAGAACTATGATAGGTAACAAAGAAGAATTAAAAGTGCTACTGGAAAACTTAAGGGGAAGAGTGTTTCATCCTTTATTTTCAAGGAAAGTCTACATTTTATGAAAACAAGCATTTGTTATATCATTGAGTACAGAGCTCACATAGCAAACATTTCACCATTTTTATCACATATTGGATGATCTAGAATCAATTGTCTTAACAGGCTTATGTCTTTCACTGCTTCATGACAATCGCGTTACCATATTTTAGTGAAACACTCTATCTAGCTTTAAGGTTTCCTTTTGAGTAAAAATGAGACCTAATAATTTTTAACCAAAAATGTATATGTGCTATTGCTTGTAATAGGATCTGTAAACACTATATTAAGACTTAGCATTTAGACATGAAACATGTCTAAAACCTCTGAAGAATACTCTAGAAATAAGCAAGACATCTATAATGCTTTAATCTTTCCAGGTAACACCATTTATATCAGTAACTGCAATGCTGTAACTTTCAGCATTTCACATAACTAGTCAGGATATATATTTCTTCAAGGGTGGGAGTAAGAACAGAAGGACAAGAGATACAAGTGCCAGGTTTCACAGTTCTGTTAAAAGCTCAAAAATCAAAACTATTGTCTTCTCTGCATCAAAACTGTGCCATAAACTTGAAGGCTGTTTCAGCTTTAATCCCATGACTCACCACCTACTGTTTGTGTTGAAAGTGCTCTTGCCCTGGTAATTCTTAAAAAAAAGGAAGAAGAAAACATTTAGTTTTATGACATCTCTAAAATTACAATGCCCAGAGAGCAGGGACTCAAGCTTTCTACCATGTCTTCCCCAAACACATATACGTATATATAAAACGTTCTTCTCACTACATTCAGTCCATCTGCAAAAAGGCCCATAGAACCTTGGAGGTCTGAACTGTGCACAAAATATTTCAGGAAAAAACTTTTTTAATCCAACAGTTTTGACAAGTAAAAGAACTTAAAAGCTCTACACTTCAGTGATTAAGCATAAATATTCAATGACTAATATGCCCATTATCTCTGTATAAAAGTGGTGATGCCTATAAACTGACACATCAGAAAAGATGTGTAATTCATTATCTCAAGTCTTTTTCTTGATTAATTATGTAGTCAGAATTCCAAAACTAAAGAATTCTTATGGAAAATTTATAAGATCCGAAATCAGAATTTGAAATGCCAGCATACCTAGGAAAAGAGGATATTTGAGCATAAACTTCAAAGTCAATTCCTCACCTTTAAGACCAAAAATATATATGTACTCAGAATTTGAGAAATACTACAGTAATATTCTAGGTATGAAAATAATAACTTAAATTATTGAATGTTTAGTTACTTCACATTATTAAGTATGACATTCACAGAGAGAAACTGTAAGCCAAGTTCTGAATTCTTCCCCTCAACTAACCTTTCTAGTATCAACTGATGCAAACACATTTCCTCTTGTACTACCACTGGGGCCCGGAACGTGTACTGTAGGCAATTTCTTCCAACCATGCAGGAACATCCTGTTGAGCCTTAAAAAAGAGAATTTACTTCATATACTATAACATGTTAATAAAATCTCAAGGATGGAACAGTTTACTCTTCCTGAATATATGTATATATATAATGTCTACTTTTAATGATAAAGAACACCATCACTTCAGTTTTAAAAATTTGGAACTTACATCTGACAATACTTTCACCAGAGGCTGTGCCAAATGGTGATCTGATTCAGGATCAAAAAAGGAAATAGCTCTGCCAGTATTTCCACAACGACCAGTAACTTTCTAGTATCAACTGATGCAAACACATTTCCTCTTGTACTACCACTGGGGCCCGGAACGTGTACTGAAGGCAATTTCTTCCAACCATGCAGGAACATCCTGTTGAGCATCTGACAATACTTTCACCAGAGGCTGTGCCAAATGGTGATCTGATTCAGGATCAAAAAAGGAAATAGCTCTGCCAGTATTTCCACAACGACCAGTAAGTCCAATTCGATGGACATACTCCTCAATGGTAGAAGGAAGATCAAAATTGATAACATGTTGAACATTTTCAATATCCAGCCCTCTGCCTGCTACTGAGGTAGCAACAAGAACCGGGCACTTTCCACAGCGAAAATCCCATAGACTCTGCTCTCTCTCTCGCTGCGGCCGGTCACTGGAAAGAAAAGAGACCATGCATATGGGCAGCAATTGAAAAAATTATTACAGAGAACCAGTAAAGTTCACATTAATTTCTTTTTAATAATAGTAAGAATAGCAGCATTTAATATTAATGTCTATCTCTTACATGCCAGGTGTTATACTAATTCCTTTCAAGCCATCATTTTATTTAATTCTCAGAATAATATGGAGGGTGGAACAATTATCTCCATACAGGTAATGCAGAGAGCCAAAATGCAAACTAATATATGACAAACATCAAAGCTTACCTATTAATAATCTCTTTTCTAGTCTTAACAAAAAAATACATGCTTCATGATGAGAATGCTTCACAAATAGAAGGTTTTTTTAAGTACTAATCTCAAACTTCAACCTGTTCACTGATTATCTTAGATCCATTAGTAAAGTGTCAATAAAGTTGTGTTAATATGACATTTTTAAGCGTGCCAATACAAAACTGTCAGGAAACAGAAAGATAAGAGTGAGCAAAGGACAAATTTAGATGTAAGGACAAGAGGGTGTTAAGTGAGATCCGTTGAGAAGGTATCACTCCTCATAAAGAGTCTAAGAACTTGCCCCCATCCATTCCCACCATTTAGTCCTTACAGAAACTTAAAATGAAGATGAAGGGCAAGTTTAGATCTTGAAACTTCTGAACCCTAATCCTAGGATTATGTCATATTAGTTATATACACTGATGCTTTTGAACAAATGACAAATAGAAGTCACCTCCCTACTAGGAAATCATATCAATCTACTTACCCATGAATACTTGTTGTTGATATTTTCTCTTGACAAAGAAAACTGGCAATAAAATCTGCTCTTTTCTTAGTTTCAACAAAAACCATGGTTCTTTCATCACCTAGAAGACAATGAAACAATGATTAACACTCAAATTACAAAATTAGCAAATGGATAAAAAGGTGGGGGGTGGCGCTCAGTAGGAAACAAGCTCATCTACCACTGTACTCCCAGCACTCTGACGCAGCCTGGTAGCTAATAGGAACTCAACTATCTCCTGAATGAATGAAAGATAAAAAGACAAGGGACTGTCTTCCTACTTTAGGGACAAAAAAGTCACCTTGCCCCTTATCTTCCCCAGCCAACATCAGAAAGAAGAGACTTAAGTAAGGATAAGTGATATCAACCTGCCAGCTCCTAGTGATTCCAAATTCTTCTCAGGCCCTTTATTTCCTTCTCTATAAACAAATGCCTTCATTTCCTTCCCAAGATAAGCCAATCTTTCACCTGCTTTTATTGCCCAAGGTAGCCATAATACTGACATTTAAACAGGGCTGATGATAAATCCTACAATATTCCGTGTTCCAACATTATCCCCAAGGTATCCCCTTTATCCCCAAAGTATCTCATATATAAAGAAAATGAATAACTGGTCTTAACACATCAAAGAACATTTACTTGTGAGCTTACTATTTGATAGAAATTCAAGCATAAGTCAGAGATTTTTCTACACAAGAAATTTCCCTATAAAATGTTAAAGAGAGCTACTACAAAGCCACAGTAATCAAGACAATGGGGTACAGGCACAAGAACAGACCCACAGACCAATGGAACAGACTAGAGAGTCCAGATCAGATAGAAACCCAAGCATATATGGTCAATTAATATACGATAAAAGAGCCATGGATATACAATGGGGAAATGTATGGGAGAATATATTTGTAAATGACATATCCAACAAGGGGTTAACATCCAAACTATATAAAGAACTCACATGCCTCAACACCCAAAAAGCAAATACCCTATGAAAAAATGTACGGAGGGTATGAACAGACACTTTTTCAAAGAAGAAATTCAGATGGCCAACAGGCAAATGAAAAGATGCTCCACATCGCTAATTATCAGGGAAACGCAAATTAAATTAAAACCACAATGAGATGTCACCTCACACCAGTTAGGATGGCCAACACAGAAAAGACTAGGAACAACAAATGCTGGCGAGGATAGAGAAAGAGGAACCTTCATACACTGCTGGTGGGAATGTAAGCTAGTTCAACGATTGCAGAAAGCAATATAGAGGTTCCTCAAAAAAACAAAAAACAGAAATACCATTTGACCCAGGAATTCCACTCCTAGGAATTTACCCTAAGAACGCAGGAGCCCAGTTTCAAAAAGACATATGCACCCCTATGTTCATTGTAGCACTATTGACAATAGCCAAGACATGGAAGCAACCTAAGTGTCCATCAGTAGATGAATGGATAAAGAAGTGGTGGTACATATACACAATGGAATATTATTCAGCCATAAGAAAGAAGCAAATCCTACCATTTGCAACAACATGGATGGAGCTAGAGGGTATTATGCTTAGTGCAATAAGCCAGGCGCAGAAAGACAAGTACCAAATGATTTCAAGGTTTTTTTAAGTACTAATCTCAAACTTCAACCTGTTCACTGATTATCTTAGATCCATTAGTAAAGTGTCAATAAAGTTGTGTTAATATGACATTTTTAAGCGTGCCAATACAAAACTGTCAGGAAACAGAAAGATAAGAGTGAGCAAAGGACAAATTTAGATGTAAGGACAAGAGGGTGTTAAGTGAGATCCGTTGAGAAGGTATCACTCCTCATAAAGAGTCTAAGAACTTGCCCCCATCCATTCCCACCATTTAGTCCTTACAGAAACTTAAAATGAAGATGAAGGGCAAGTTTAGATCTTGAAACTTCTGAACCCTAATCCTAGGATTATGTCATATTAGTTATATACACTGATGCTTTTGAACAAATGACAAATAGAAGTCACCTCCCTACTAGGAAATCATATCAATCTACTTACCCATGAATACTTGTTGTTGGTATTTTCTCTTGACAAAGAAAACTGGCAATAAAATCTGCTCTTTTCTTAGTTTCAACAAAAACCATGGTTCTTTCATCACCTAGAAGACAATGAAACAATGATTAACACTCAAATTACAAAATCAGCAAATGGATAAAAAGGTGGGAGGTGGCGCTCAGTAGGAAACAAGCTCATCTACCACTGTACTCCCAGCACTCTGACGCAGCCTGGTAGCTAATAGGAACTCAACTATCTCCTGAATGAATGAAAGATAAAAAGACAAGGGACTGTCTTCCTACTTTAGGGACGAAAAAAGTCACCTTGCCCCTTATCTTCCCCAGCCAACATCAGAAAGAAGAGACTTAGGTAAGGATAAATGATATCTACCTGCCAGCTCCTAGTGATTCCAAATTCTTCTCAGGCCCTTTATTTCCCTCTCTATAGACAAATGCCTTCGTTTACTTCCCAAGATAAGCCAATCTTTCACCTGCTTTTATTGCCCAAGGTAGCCATAATACTGACATTCAAACAGGGCTGATGATAAATCCTACAATATTCCGTGTTCCAACATTATCCCCAAAGTATCCCCTTTATCCCCAAAGTAGCTCATATATCAAGAAAATGAATAACTGGTCTTAACACATCAAAGAACATTTACTTGTGAGCTTACTATTTGATAGAAATTCAAGCATAAGTCAGAGATTTTTCTACACAAGAAATTTCCCTATAAAATGTTAGAGAGAGCTACTACAAAGCCATAGTAATCAAGACAATGTGGTACAGGCACAAGAACAGACCCACAGACCAATGGAACAGACTAGAGAGCCCAGACAGAAACCCAAGCATATATGGTCAATTAATATACAATAAAAGACCCATGGATATACAATGGGGAAATGTATGGGAGAATATATTTGTAAATGACATATCCAACAAGGGGTTAACATCCAAAATATATAAAGAACTCACATGCCTCAACACCCAAAAAGCAAATACCCTATGAAAAAATGTTCAGAGGGTATAAACAGACACTTCTCCAAAGAAGAAATTCAGATGGCCAACAGGCATATGAAAAGATGCTCCACATTGCTAATTATCAGGGAAACGCAAATTAAATTAAAACCACAATGAGATGTCACCTCACAACAGTTAGGATGGCCAACATAGAAAAGACTAGGAACAACAAATGCTGGCAAGGATAGAGAAAGAGGAACCCTCCTACACTGCTGGTGGGAATGTAAGCTAGTTCAATGATTGCAGAAAGCAATATGGAGGTTCCTCAAAAAAAGAAAAAACAGAAATACCATTTGACCCAGGAATTCCACTCCTAGGACTTCACCCTAAGAATGCAGGAGCCCAGTTTCAAAAAGACATATGCACCCCTATGTTCATCGTAGCACTACTGACAATAGCCAAGACATGGAAGCAACCTAAGTGTCCATCAGTAGATGAATGGATAAAGAAGTGGTGGTACATATACACAATGGAATATTATTCAGCCAAAAGAAAGAAGCAAATCCTACCATTTGCAACCACATGGATGGAGCTAGAGGGTATTATGCTCAGTGCAATAAGCCAGGTGCAGAAAGTCAAGTACCAAATGATTTCCCTCATTTGTGGAGTATAACAGCGAAGCAAAACTGAAGGAACAAAATAGCAGCAGACTCACAGACTCCCAAGAAGGGATGAGTGGTTACCAAAGGGGAGAGGTGGGGGAGGGCAGGTGGGGAGGGAGGGAGAAGGGGATTGTGGGGTATTATGATTGGTGCACATGGTGTATGGTATGGGGGGTCAAGGGGAAGACAGTGTAGCTCAGAGATGACAAATAGGGACTCTGGCATCTTACTACACTGATGGACAGTGACCGCAATGGGGTATGGGACACGATAATATGGGTGAATATAATAACCACATTGTTTTTCTTGAGAAACCTTCATAAGAGTGTATATCAATGATACCTTAATCAATCAATCAATCAATCAATCAATCAATCAATCAATAAAATGTTAGGAGAGGGAAGAGTGTAATTTACGTAAGGGAGACTGTATTACTGTCCATAAGCCCTCTCCCCCAACTCTCTATCAGGTGACTTCATCTATTTAACAAATGTTTAGTCAGTCACTATTCTAGCTGTTAGAAATTATAGCAATAAAACAAAGCCCCTGCTCTGATCCTGAGGAGACAAACAGGTATTATGCATTAAGTGTAAAAAGGGGGAAAAACAGCACGATAAAGGTCCCCAAGAAGGTTATTTAAATACAGCTTCTCTAATTAGATGACATCGGAGACATGAATAAAACAAGAGTGAACTATTCATTTATCTGAGGAAAGGGCAGAGGGAGGAACAAACATCAAGGCTCTGAGTCAGGAGTGTGTCTGATGTGCTCAAAAAACCCCAAAAGAGAACAAAACAAAGAGGCTTTCATGTGGCCTCTACATTCCTGGCAGGACAAAGAATGTAGATCCTTGTACGTTGTACAGCAAGTAAAAAGGCCATGAGGCAGAAGTGTGCCCGTTAAGTGTGAAGAATAGTTATGAGCAAAGTCTGGCTGGAGTAGGGTGAGCATGGGAGGCCAGTGGGAAAGGAAGAGAGAGGCGTAATGGAAGCCATACTGGGTAGGGCTCTGAAGGCCACTGAAGGAACTTCATTACTCTGAGAAGCCCACTGGGTTTGTTTTTTTTTTTTTGAAAATGTTAACCTTTAATTTCAATTCAAAGCAAGTGAAAACAGATAAATTTATGATGTGTTCCTGATTCTCTCCTTTAGGTTTGAAAAGGAATAAAGACTGTACTTCCTAAATTAGTATAGAAAGGGGGAGAATTTCTCCCCTTGATTATTACTCAATTTGGGTTTGTGCTTTTGGAAAAGGAAAGTGATAGTTTTGGAGTCATTAGTCTTTGTCTCTTATGCCAAATAGCTAGATATGTTGATGTTTTGGACTGGTTGTTTAAAACAATAAATAGTTAAGCACACACAGTCTCAGATAAAAATCTATGGTTGTAAGAATGTTGAACTAACATGAAAATTATGAGTTGAAAAAATGCTGGGTTGAGAAAAACATTAA